TCCAGAAGGTGTCAGGCCACTGCCCCACAGCCCTGCCCACTGCCCCACAGCCCTGCCCGAACAGGGCCAGCTTCTTTCGCATTGCAGAAAGTAAAGCATCAATTACGCCTTCAAAAGGCATTTAAAAAACGAGTTCAGGCGCACTGGAGGTGGGACTGGGGGCAGAGGGAGTAGCTCAGGGGGCTGAGGCAGTAGCAGAGCCCCCCTCGACTGGCTCCATCAGAGGCACTGGTGCCTGGGCTGCGTGGATCCTGAGTTCTTGTCAAAATAAACCCACTCTTTCGCCTTCTAAGGGAAGCAGCACGATTCCTTGCTCAGGTCATTTTCCCCAACTAAGGTAATTCCCATGATTTCATAACTGCTAAGTCGCTTCTTTTCTTCCCCACTCAGGCCTACTTAAAACTGGCAGGAAAGAAAGGGGAAACACTTGCTATTTTGTGCTGTTGTGGGCTTGTCTTTTTTTGGGGGAGGAAGAGGGTAAGAAAGTTGAGGATAATTTTCCACATAAGTTCACAGAATCATTTAGGTTTGAAAAGACCTTTAGGATCATTGAGTCCAGCCATTAACCCAGCACTGTCAGGTCCACCTCTAAACCATGTCCCTAAGCACCACAGCTACACATCTTTTAAATACCTCCAGGGATAGTGACTCCACCAGGCAGCCTGTTCCAATGCTTGACAACCCTTTCAGTGAAGAAATTGTTTCCTAATACCCAGTCCAAACCTCCCCTGATACAACTTGAGACCATTTCATCCTGTCCTATTGCTTGTTACATGGGAGAAGAGATTGATCCCCAGCTCCTTACAACCTCATTTCAGGTAACTAGAGAGCTGCTGCTTCTCCAGGCCAAACAACCCCAGTTCCCTCAGTCGCTCCTCATAAGATGCATCCTCTAGACCCTTTGCCACCACAGTTGCCTGTCTTTGAACATGCAAAGTTAGATATTTAATGATAAAAGCCACTCAGTCAGGCCACCTGGAAGCCTCTTTGCTGAACTGCTTGATTTCAGTATGAAAACTAAATCAATATTTAATGACTGACCCAATCTCCAAATTACAACCTGATTGCTTCAAATCCTGCCAGCCGAGAGAGGGGCCGAGGCTCATAAAAAGCTCAAAATCCGCTTTGTGTTTTAAAGCCACATTGTGGTTCCCCAGGCTGCATTAAAGTTAAGCTTAAAAACCCACCAGAACTACACAATCAACCACCCAGAAATTTTCCAGGGGTTTTTTTTTGGGTACCACCTACTGGCTATAGGGACTCCAGACCGTCAGCTTGAAAAAAAGGACAATAAACCCAACAATAAACCCGACAATAAACGTCGCCCACGTGAGATGCCGCCACTCGATGTCCATTTCCCGGCTCCGCAGGTGTGACCCTGCGCAGCGCTGGCTCCGTCCCGGTGCTAACGAGGGGCCGGCGGATTCCCCCCCACCTCAAAGTCCCGGGGCCCTTCCCTTCCCCCTGGCTCCCCCTGGTGGCCTCGGCCCGTCCGAGGGATGGCCGCCGCCTCACCCGGTGGCAGAAGGGCCGGTTCAGAGCGAAGCACCAGGGAAATAAAGAAAGGAAGATAAAGACGTGGGTCGCCTACGTTTTGGCCGTGGTCAGCTGCGCGGGCAGTTTGATGGTGCCGGAGAACAGTTCTCGGTCGTAAACATCTCGGCTCCTGGATCTGAATGAGATCTGCACTCTGGTGCCAAACGAGTAGGTTACACGCTGTTTCCCCTTCAGTGGAGAAATTCCTCTTGTATGTGGTGGGTCAGCTAGGAACCCAGTAGTGCTTTCATGAGCTTTCACCACCATATGCAATAACATACTTCAAACTTACATATTTTTATAGCAGATCCACTACACTCCCCAGCAAAGTAGTACTACTATTTCAGAAAGCATAGAGGAACACACATGCTTTTCAGCAAGTACACCTCCAGACATCCCCTGCTTCGGCAGGTGAACTAGATGTATTAATGACGGGTAAAAAAACCACACATAAATGCACTTCTGTAAATAGATCTTGAACAATATCCCAAATCAGCAGTCGTAACAGTTTTAGATAGTGAATTTCACACCAAATTACTCCATGTCAGTCCTTTCATATTTCTGTAAATGGTTACAAATTTGAGGAGGATGCTTTAGTATACAGTAACTGTGCTGAAATTAGGCATGGTGAGGGATCACAGCACCTGCAGAATCTGTTGGACTAAGCATCAGATCCAAGTCTTCTGAAAGATCATTTAATATGCCAAGACTAGAGGAGTAAACGTCGAACAAATGGGTAACAAATGCCAAATTCTGCTGGTTAAGTTGGTCTGCTAATGGCACACTAGTGCTGTCATGGCAAGCCAAGACATAGCAGCCAGAGAAATATACACAGAAATGCCAGGGTTGGCAGTGACAGCTGGACGATACATGTACTGTATTTGCTTTAGGGACATGGACTCTACTTTCCAGCCTAGTAATCAAGTGAAGCAGAAAGGCAACAAGTAGATGAGCCTGCACCTTGAAATCTGGCAAGGAAAAAACTTTTAAAATAATCCAATAAAACCTTTCCCTTGACATCTACTGCAGAGACAAGATACTTTTCTTTACATTGTTTTTGACAGACTCTACAGTGGTACCATATTGTGAGTAATAACAAAGGCAAAGCATTCCTTATTAATAAATGGCAACTATTCACTGCAAGTAACTGGCCCTGAGCGACACACAGTTTAACATTATATCTCTTGCTATTTCACAAATATAACTAGATGTAGCCGGGATTTTTTTTCCTTTTAAATTAAGAAGTGCCAATTCTTTGGAATTCTTAGGATAGTACCAACTTTGGTAAAAGCTAAGAGGCTGGAACTTTAGCCAAAGTAAGTTTTTAGAGCACGAACTAGCATGTAGCACCAACACAACACCTCGACAACAAATTTAAATCCCCAATCCCTGCTTTGCTGTTCTACTCCCATTGTAAACATCCTCAACAGTGAGCTGCAGGCTCACAGAACGACCACAGAATAATAAGCCTGCTTATCAGGCCACTGTCTGATATAGAGAACTCATGCTTTGAGTTCTGAAAGCACTGGGACTAAGAGCCTGCTCTAAGTTCTAGACACGTGTGCCCTTTTTTTTTTTCCCCTAACGTTTCACAGTTATTTCCTCAGAAAGGGAATGAGATAGTTTAACCGAGAAACTGATTTCCCACGTAACTCTAATTCCCATGTTTTGTTGAGATGTATTTGAAACTGGTACCTGAATAATGAGGGACAGCGTTTATGTAAAAAGTTTATAGGAAGAAGAAGATGAGACCTTCCCATTTAAGATTAATCAAAGACATTATTTACCACACAAGTCATAACAGTGTAAGATAGCCAAGCAGTAACAGCACGCACTCCCTAACCTTTGGAAAACTTGTCAAAACTTTCTTCAAGTGTGTGTGTGTAAAGAGACACAAAGACAAATTATAGAAAAAGGTACCCATTTATTCAAGGTATGACAAGGATATTTACAGTATTCATTTGCTCAGAACAAGATCCATCCTCACAATTTTTAAAGCAGCAATTATAAATTACATTTAAAAGGGAAAATCCTCCAAGCATGTTTCTGTTAGAGATATTTTTACAGCAACAGAAACACTTTAAGGCTAAGTCGTTTTTGGCCTTTGCTGCCACCCACATTTATCCTGGCAAAACTGTCTCAAAGACAACGTTACCTTGAGGGATAAAGACTATGCTAAATTCAACATACAATTTTGTTCCCTCAGACGCTTTTCACAACAGTTCACATCTAACAGAAATTGACTTTTGATTGAAAAACAATTAATTAAATAGAAGCAAGATGAACTGCCGATATCCTGGCATTGCAGAGGGCTAAAAGATCAGATGCAGCAACACATTCATCACCTCTGAAAGACACCATCAGCTTTCTTGTTGATGGAGGTACTTCAGCTTAGCAAGCAATTTGCTTTAGGTCAGAGCTCCACAGTCACATGGTGCAATCCACCTTTCCCTTCACATTAATTTTCAAAAGACAAGAACAAAAATCTTCAGGTAGTAGACTCCTAACGTAAATAATGGAACACTGTTCTGCTTTAAACAGCACTTGATTCCCACAGGACAGACTAGTGCTCCACCAAAGCGAACAAGATGAGTTTGCTAAACTGCTGTAGTGTTATTCTCTAGTCATTTTAACACACAACAGATTTACGGGAGCAGTTAAAATTGGTTTATCTCTTGAGGTAGAAGCCACAAGTCATATTTAGTCCCATTTGTAAACTATAACACATCATCAGGCAAATATAGCCATTTGTCATTTATAAAATAAACCCAGTGATTTTACAGATGCTATTAATTGTAAATACAATGGCTTTTTTCTTTTACTGAATCATTTTGTGCCTGTTTAAGAAAGCAAATTAAACATTTGGAATAGTAGAGCGTGGCTACTTCTACAGTTGCAATGAAAATATGTCTTATACAGATAAGCATCATAGCAACATGATGGTACATGTGTTGGGACATGAGCATTCCTCTTAACTTAAAAGTTATTTCGGAAAATACCAATTTTAACTGCGTAATAAAGAAAACAAAAACCCCAGTTACTATACCTTTAAGACTACATAGCTACTTGAAATACTACCATTGCGTTTTGGTAATTTTTTTTTAGGATTACATTTAAGGGAAAAGAAAGTTAAATACAACAGAAACCCCTAAAGCCTGCACAAATACAACTTCATGATGATGTTTTGTTAGGTGAGGACACTACATAACTACATCTATTGAAACTGCACATTCAACATTCCAATAGAAGCAGAAATGTGACCCTTGCATTAGTAAAGGATATTTACTCCAGGTTAGCTGAGAATCTCTGTAAAAGCAAAGTTGTTGCCAGGACTGATAGAAGTCTTAAGTTATTTGAAGATAACTCAAGCAACAAGTTACGAAACATATGGAGATTGGCACTTGATCTTTAGTTAGCCCCATTAGCTGACTTTTCTCCCCAGAGACTCACATACACAGAACTTAAAGTTTTTGTTTTACTACTGTAAAAAATAAAAGTCAATTTGTAGTTCCAGAATAAACAAAGAAACCTTAGCTTCAAACTATTTAAAAACAAAGGTTCAAATTTTGATAAGATACATTTCACAACATTCACATCAGCACCTTAACCAAATGCCTTTTTTTTTTTTTTAACTTAGCAAATTTCACAGGGTTTTTATGTTAGTGACAAGAGGCTACATTCTCATCTGGATGTAGGTGTAACATGACTCAAGGAGAACAAACTGGAGGGAGTGCAAGTCAGTTTGCAGAGTCCCCTGTTGAGGTCTACGTGTTCAGAACCAACATTTAAGACTGAAGTTATTAAAGATTGACCTTTTGCATATTCCGAAACGAAAGGCAAATACAATCAACTTACATTTGGCTTTGAAACATTAAGATAACAATGTTTTATTTCAGCCACATATTTACAAAAATGTTTACAACAGAATCATATAGGGTTTCCTTTATTTTTTGCTGTCATTATACATGTAAAGATGAATAGTCATCTTAATCTTCATGCAAAGATGCATCTCTTGTTACACAAGAAGTTTTCTGTTTGTTTTTTTTGCACTCTGAGGATAGAAAGCAGAGGGTTGGACAAGTTTGGGTCACGCTTAAAAACATAGGCCTGTTTGCTCTACTGCACCTTCAAAATAAAGAGGTGAAGTACAGGCACCTTTAATTCCACAAGGGTTCACTGCCTCTAGCGTGTTTTCCAAAACCAACAAAAATAGTCTTGAACAGTTGTAACATGGGTTGTTCCATGACTTTCACCTCTTCAGTTTTCTTCCTGAACTCTGGAGTTACTTTCCTAGAAGCATGCTTGCTGAGCTTCTTTTCTAATGTATATTGTTGATTATACATTTTAAATTAAACTGTTATGTAAAGAATGTAACAAGCTTTTCCTTTGTACACAACTTAATCTTTGTGCTGAGTATTCTTCAAAAGGATTTTATAAATAATACAGTAAGTTCAGAATCAGTCTTCTCCCCTTTTGTCATTATACCATGTTGTTGCTTTCTCCAACTTTATCTACGAGCTGTAGAAAAAGGAGATAAAAAGGTTTTAAGCTGCATGACATTTATGCACAGTGTTACTCTCAAATATTATATGCCACTTGCACAGTTAGTATGCGACTGAAAATGCGAGTCAAATAGTACTCACCAAAGTCTCATGATTTAAGTTTGTGAAAATAAAAAAAAATCTTACATCGCAATCGTATTTCTGCATGACATGTTTTTCTCATATAGACATTAACAGTGCAACATGAAGATGCAACAGAATGAAAAAGGAAATAGAAGAATGCAGATAACATTGCTAGCTTAATGATTAAAACAAAACAATACAGTATCAGCCACACATGCATTAGTAGACCAAGTAGATATTTCAACTGACCATTACTGTGGATTCTCTTCTGAGCCTACGTAGGCTTTGAATAAAACATTAACAATTATCTTTTAAAAATAAGATTTAACCCCATTATGATCAAATTAAATATGACTAAGTAAGATCAATTGACAAATGAAACATTCAATTGATCGTGAATTATGAGCCAGAACTTGGCCTAACTGTAAGATCAGAACAGATGATCTTGAGCACTAATTTTTAAAAAACAGCCTGTATGCATCTAAGTTGTATCCCCTGCTAATTTTTTTAGCAGTAGCTATTAAAACTGTTGCTTTTAAAACTAGGATTAAAAATACTTGTGTTAAAATACATTCAGAAATTAGCACAGTAAAAGTAGTTGACTGAAACACCCTAGATCACCATTGTTCTGGCACCTGTTAATTGTCTTCAAATCCCTGGCTATTTGTTTGAAAAATAATAGAAAACTGCATTTGAAAAAATACACGAGTCTTAGCAAGACGTAGTCTCATGCAGCAGACCGTAATAAACATATCTGATGAATGATTTCGCATCATGAGGCTTTCTGGATTTCCCATTCAAGCTGTGACGTAACACACAACTAAACTGTTTGCTTTTAAAGACCACTTTCTGTAAACATATCCAAATACTACACAAAGAAGAACAGTGTCTTCCTCATCATGAAGCCAGGAGAAGAGGCTTCGAACAATGGCCAAATCACAATCCAGGGCCCTTTCCACTTCGCAATGTATAAGTGGAGGCGGCTTCCGCAAAGGTGTCCCTTTGCTCCTTTTATACCTAGGAATCTCTCACTGGGAATGAAGGCGATCTGTATGGTGCAAGAACTAAACAGGAACACACTCAAAGTCACTGCTCTGAAGTTAAATTTGCTTTTGCTAATGCATTTCTGCTACTGCTGTAACAACGAAATAAAAAACAGTACAAGCTTCATATTTTGCATGAAGTACCAAACACTTACCGAGCTTATACCAGGTAAATTCAAGAGATATCCAAGAACTGGAACTCTTCTAATAAAGCCAACCACCACAGGAAAGAACCCTCTTTATGTAAGATATCAGAAGATTGTATTAGATTATTATAATAAACTTATTGCCATAAAATGAAGATACAGAAGCGTTTTTAAACATGAAACCTTGTAGCTTGCTAGCAGCACATTAATTTTACTGAACACATAAACATACATTTATCAGAGAAAGCAGAAAACCACCTTATTTTTAAATGGACTTAATTTTCTTCGTGGCTGGCGACCCTCAGTCAACTCTTCAAAAACCAATCAAGAAAGAATATCCAACTTAAGCAACAAAACTGATGCTCCCAACTGATTTCTCAAAATTACCATACATTTCTTAGGATAATTTCTTGTTACATGATACGAAATACCCAATGTAAACCAGCCAAAGTCAATTCCAGGTAATCCTCTTTGAAACCATGTATGGCACTCTTTAATTGAAGAAAATGAAGCATGACAGAGTGGTGTATTCACTTATTTCACAAAGTTACGTGAAGTCAGATATTTCAACCACGAGCCAGGGGATGTTGCCTAGCACAGCTTTTATGGTGCAGCCCCCTGCACTGCCCACTTCATCTCTGCATCAGGAAATAAATTTTCTGTGGAAGTATCTCTGTTTGCAGTCAACTGCAGCAATTCAGCTAACAGTGAAATTCCAAGTTACATCTCGTTGAGGTATATATTCTCCTGCGCAGAGGAAGAATTAACCTGCAATGAGACCTCAGCCACAGTGAAACACTGAAGTTTCACAACACATTATCCTGTTCACTACACTGCTAAGAACTATTTTCTGGGTAATATTGATACCACCAAATTTTTCCTGGAGATTTTCTTTTTTTTAAGACCAGATCATTTCAGTGGTCTGGTAAAGATGAGAAGAGGAAGACATTCTAGAGTTAAATGAGAGTAAAACAATAATTGTGTCTCTCACTTCAGTCAGATGCATCTTAAAAAAAAAAAAAAAAAAAAAGAAGGAGGAAATCTTTGCAATCCTGTCATTTAAGTGTTCTTGGTCACCAGTATCTAATCATTGCTTTGTGGGCATCCGGGACTCTGCAATTGCTGTTACAAAGCTCACGTAAGGTGACTGTGTAAAGGTAATAAAGATACACAACACAACAACCTACAGGTAAAAATTCTAGAGGGATGTGAATACCTAGTGGAACTGCTTCAGTGGCCTAAAAAAAAAAAATAAAAAAAATCAAAAGACCAAAAAAAGTATAATACAGTAGTTTACATTTGCATTCTCTCAGTCTGAGTTGAAGTTACTAAAACTGCTAAATTGCTCTTGACAACTAGAGAGGTTTTCCACATAAAAGTCGTAGTAATCCACATGACTAGGACCATTAGGATACACAGAAATGCCTGTTCTCATAACATACTGCCCTAACAAATCCAAAGGAGCATAAATTGGTCTGGTATTCTTGGGCTTAAGAAAATTATGCACTTCAGAGACCACTGACAACCAGGGAAGGTTTCTGTTATGCAAACAAACAGAGGGATTATGAGGAATTGTATAATATGATGCTAGAGGGAAGGCTCTATTTTTAACTTGTTCAGGAGGGAATCGCCTATCTCTTGTTGATACTCTTCTAGCAAGGGAAGAGTTCTAATGACCTGAGGATAACCACCAACCTATGATCACTTCAGCATTATTTTACCCTGCTAACCCCTGGCCAGCACCAACAGGTAATCCTTAACTATCCTTGCTTAGAAATAATAATTTATAATGTGTTCAAGAACTTTTAAAAAGAAGCATGTCTGGTTGGAAACACACAGTACTTTCTTTGTACGGCCTGATTAAACCCAAGTGCTTCATGCAAGAAGTGACAATGTATTCAGTGAAATACCATGATTTCCAAAACACTTGCAGTGATAAGAGTTCAGAGCAACAGAGCAGAACAATAAGAACCCTATATTTAAAGGGCAAAATTAATTTTTAGAAATCTGTCTTCAGTAGGACCCAAGCGAAGATTTTTTTTTAAAAAAACTTAAACATTTTATCTAAATTAATTACAAGATTAACATATAATTTTCCTGAGCAGAAAGAAAAAGAGCATCATGAGAATAGTGGTTTGATTTTGATTAGTAGGAACAGTATTATTTAGGCCAGTAGCTGAAGATTTCAAAAATATTTTATGGGTCTGTTATTAGATTAATAAGTACTAATGAAACAATATAAACTGAAGTCCAAGAAGAACTAAAAATCTCCCTTCTTATCTATTAGCATGTTTTGTATTTTGTTCTATAGTTAAGTACGGAACTTCAGCATTGAAAATAAAGGACAAAATATAGGTATATGCAGGTTGTAACAAGCCAATTCCTTTCACAACTACGTTCATGAAGAAGTTAAATGCCATATTGTGAAGGTTACACATACCAAGATTGCTGTGAAAAAACAGAACAAATTTCCATTTTCCTTAACTCGAGGTAAAAGCTAACCAAAAATCAGCAGTTCTGACTATACTAGGGCAGAGGGTAACGAAACATGACAGAAAGCATCTTTTCACTGGGCTAGCATAGTAACCAAATGGTAAGGTTACAAGTGTAGGATGTTTGAAATCAAGTATTTTGCCTCATCTGTTAAAGTATAAACTCCCCACTAAAAAAATACAAATTATCTAAGTTGACTTTTTTAATGAGGAAATTTTTAAAAACTGCACCACTAACAATTTGGGCTCCTAGATATTCTGAAGCTTTACAATTCTTTGGTTAGACATAAAAGACACTAAAAAAAGTCATATGCAAACAGTAGTGAATTTGAGTCTTGAAAAAATACCACCTTTCCACCTCTTGCAAATGTAAATCAACAACTTTATATAAAATCTATCAATAGCAAACATTTAAAGGATGCCACTTTGTCAGCTGTAATGCAGCAAAACTAAATGAATGGATTTACTCCTAGACATGTCAATAGAGAAAGGTATTTTAAAACAAGTCTTACCTGAATAATAGGAAGAACCCATAAATTTCAAGGATCATTCCTATTAAAGGCCAACCAATGAGAACTATGAGCACACCACCCAGGAAAAAGCCCGTTGCTTTCATTTTGTGTTTTTGAAAGAAGAATCTAAATGTTCTTTCTAAACCGATAACAAAAGACAAGCCAGCCACAAATAAAACCTAGAAAATACAAAAATCAAACAAAAACATCCAAGTTTAGGTTGTAAACATATACTCTCTACAAAATTAGATTCCATGTCTTGCACAACTTTAATACCAGAACTGGTGAGAAGGAATTTACCAGTGATTTTCTTTCCTGAAGTCCATCTTAAAGCATTTGTAGCTAGCATTCAAAACTCTTCTCCCAATTGCTTAAAAACTACACTCTACTTTTGTGGAATCTGACAAACACAATCATGTCAAAAGACCTGGAGACCTGGTGACAACTGTAACATCCATCCTGTAACGTAAGTACAATCATTATCCACATGCAGTGTTGCGTCTTGGTTCCACTGACACCAAAGGTTCCTAAAGAACTGACAACAGCCATGTTAAAAAAGCACCTCTGTTCTATTCCATGGATGTCTTTAATGGCTTGTACTGATCTACTGAAAAGTGTAAAGCCAAAAAAAGGAAAGCACTCAAAGAACATCCTTTTTTTTTTTTTTTTTAAACTGTGTATAGTCTCTTTACTGTTTACTAGATCCAGTATAAACAGCATCACACTAGTCCTGACTATTTAAGAATTACTTGTAATGTCTTTTAGCAACAGAACTTTTAATTATTTCAGCTTGTGAGCATACGTCTGGGCAACATTTTTGCTGAGAAGGGGACAGTATCTCAAATGTCATTTATAATCTTGAGTGAAATCTAACTTTTTTAATGTTATTTATTAAACCATTTAGCACCCTTTCCCCTTTCTGATACAACTTTGTTTTAAAAAAAACTTTTCTGTATCACAGTAACTTCTGTTGCATTATCTTTAGTTACCACATAGCCTGTTATTGTCTCTTCCTACCTATATAATTTGATCTCTTATTTCCATCTTACATGAGGAAAAGAAAAAATAAGCATTATTTTTTACTCTTCCACTACACACTTTAAAAACGGTTCAGAACAAAGCTTCACCTAATGTACCCAAATAGAAATACATGTTTTCATATTTCCATTCAGTGAATCTCAGTATTTGGCTCTGCTGCCACAGAACAAAACCGATCAGTTTTGACCACAGATTTTCAGGCATCAGCAAAAGAGGATGCGAACCTCTACCAGGCTGTGCTCTTGGCTGGCTGGCTGGCAAATCTAAGAACAGCAGAGGCACAGAGATTATCACATTCAGAAAACACCCCATAATTTTATATTTGCTCTAGAGTGGGACTTTTGTGTACCAGAACTGGGATTTATTTTCTATGCTGCTTTAAGTACACACTTTGATTTGGTAAAAAATTAAGGCACTCTCTACTATGAAGGGCTACTGGCTCTTCTAAATCCAGATTATCACCAATTAATACGTCTGTCCTCATAAAGCACAGCAAAGCTACATTTGCTAGCATGTACAGAACACTTCACTATTCTTATCCAAATATGTACTTAAATTTGATGGTTATCTTACAAGATCACAAGAAAGTGTTAGTAATTACAGCCAATCTAAAAATTGTATTTACAGAAGCCTAACAGCTGTGGAACAAGCTGCTTCTTGTCTGACCAACATACTATAGGCCTGACCTGGAGGTACGATATTTAGATTCACATGAGTTGTTCTAACTTTAATCAGAAAAAAATATTCACTCATATCACTGAGCATAACTCTTTATTCTAAATTGCCACAGTACTTTTTGTGATCCAGTTTCAAAATGATAACATATTGTTCTATTTTTAGCTTATTTTTAATACATCATATACTTAATTCTAAGCAGTGCAGAACATAAGACTAAACAGGAAACACTTACATTTCCAATAGCCAAAAGAGCTTTGTCGAAGAAGAGTATCATTCCAAAGAAAAGGAAAAACACTCCAAAGCCCGTTAGTCCCATTCCAATCTCTGAGAAGAAATAAATTTAGGCATGTAACAAAACATGGTATCAGGAGAAACTTAGGCATAAAAATGGTGAGAAACATATAATGTCCAACATACAGATGTCTGAAACGTATAGAAAAACTCAGCCTATTTTACGATCACAAAAAAAATCTTCCTGAGTGTACAAACATATTAAGTCTTGCAGACACCAATTACTTCAATAACAGCTATGTCCAACCTATAGATGTCTGAAACTTATAGAAAAACTCAGCCTATTTTACGATCACCACAAAAAAAATCTTCCTGAGTGTACAAACATATTAAGTCTTGCAGACACCAATTACTTCAATAACAGCTGCTTACCAAAGAAGTACATATTTGGAACTATATACTGACATTGAATGCAACAAAAAAAGCACGCATGCAGATATATGTATAGCAAAGACATCCCTTTTGTTTTATGGCTAGTATGGAGAAAAGGATTGCTTTGTGAACAGATAGTCAAACTTAGTTTTCCAGTTGCAACTCTTATCTTGTTATGTTTACCGCAGTCACCTAAGTAGCCTGGTCCATTCTATCCTCCTGAGGCTTCATGGTCCAGCTCCCATAACCTTGCAGAGCAGTCTCACTTCCCCAACTTCTAGACTGAATGCAATTCAGATTAATGCTGTATGATCCTTTTAAGTTACACAGGCACTGGCAACTCCTAAGCACTAGCTTGGGTCTCCAGTCAGCAGCCAGTTTTCACAGAACTAGCAGGTACCGAACACCTCTGAATTCCACCTGTCTCTAAAGGTTGCTCAGGAAATACTGGGAAGGCAAGAGTAAGACAGAAGGTTTGTCTGAGAAACTGGGCTAGAAATGTCAAGCTATGATTAAAGATACCATCTGACAATCGCCTTTAAGGTATCTTGAAAACTATACTTAGAAATATCTCCCACTGTTATAATTAAACCTCTAAGGCCTTCCTTTGACTCTCACACAGATCGAATGGAAGAGAAGTAACAGGAACTGCAGCAACATGGTGGCAAAAATATTTGCCTTTATCTGTGTACTCACCCTTACATTATTTCTATCCCTGTCACCGATGAACTTAAGAAACTTAGAGGATACATAAAAACAGCTAGCAAAACCAGCTGCAATATTATAGACAGGCTGGCAGCCCATGTTGGGTATTTTTTTTCCCCAAGGTCCCAGTAATTTGATATAGTCCACCATGAAACAAAAAAAACACGACCCACACGATCACACTCTTCACTGCTACTGTTAGCCAGCAGAAAGTTCACTTTTGCTTGAAGACCTCAGCAGTAAAGGAGTATCATTCTGCCTATTTCAAAATTTCCACTTAGTTATTGAAAAAAACCAGTTAAAAACAGTTTAGTGCAAAGAGATTTTTTAGAGCAACATTCAACCTTCCTAACTTCTGTAAGGGCTCATCTTTCAGCAAGGTTGCAGACCACACGGTGTTAAATTAGTTCTGCAGTATCTCCTGCCACCTCAAACTTTTGCAATTAGCATTGTAACCACCCAGAACTAAAACTAAGTAACCTGCTACAACTGTTTTACTGCAGACATTCTCAATACCTGTTTACAATGAAAAATGGAATTGCAAACCACTTTTTTCAATGAATCTGCTGACTAAAGGCAATGCAACAATTGCATCTGCCCTTTTCTCTAGTACTCTTTACTTTAGAAGAGCAGAAACAATCTGTATTCTGGAAGGAAAACACTTGGAGGCAGGACTCCAAAGGAATTACCAGCTGCCAACAAGATAAATATGCAGTCATGGACAGCAAGCATTCATTCCTCCAGCAGATACAAAGTATGGATCTAGCAAGAAGGCAGAGGCCAACTCCCAGCAGCTGCTGCAACTACTTCCCTGACACTCCTCCTGTATTCCCTTGAAATATGTTTGTAATCACTCACTCCTACAACAGATTCAGATTCACTTCAGAAGGCTGACAGATTTTTTGGTTAGCAGAGGGGAAAAGCAAGGAAAAAAAAAACAACAAACCCAATAAAGGTGCACTATCCTCAGCATCCCAATCTACTGCTGGAAAAACAGATGAGTAAGAGAGGACTATTACTCTCTGTTGCAAATATCTCAGTAGAAGATATTACTGACTTTAGTCACGTGAGAATTTGGAAATATGTTTGACTAGCATTCTTAGGAAAATAAAACAAACTAAAAACCAAAAACCACACTGACATTTTGTACGTAATCTTTGCAACAATGAACTAGGAACTTTTACAGAGGGTGTGAACTATTTTAAAATGCTTTCTCCTGCAGCAGGAGAGCCTTCCCATGTTACTCAAATACATTTCAATACCTAGAAATGCAGAAACACACTCTAACCATGTGGCAAAGTTAAGATTTATTGTGAGGAGGAAGCAATGCTGTTTCAATGTTTCTGCAGAAATCCCACAAGCTGTGCAAGAGGATCAAAACAGCACTGGATCAAAACAGCTTAGTAAATATTAAGACTTAAAATTCAGATGTACTGCTTGTGAAAATTCAGGGAAGACAATACACATCCTCTATCTTTTGTATTCAAAACAACAAGGGAATCGTGCATTATAGGCTCCAAGAAAACAAAAATTAATTCAGTTTATAGGTTATGAAAAGTTTCCAGTTATAATAATTATTATTATTTTGCTACTAGTGTTTTTTAGTATTGAAAAAAATAATTTGTCTGGGAAAAAATAAGTGCATTGTTTTGCAATTACTAGTGATTTATAACTTCGCTAAATGAAACATTTAAAAAACGTTCTAGACTACAGTTACAAATTTAACATTACAAATATCAACTAACGTAGTGCTCTTCTCCAGGTATTTATCTTGCTACTTCACCAGTGACTCTATGGCAAATTCCATATTTTTCAAGATGGCAGTAAGTGTAAAGAAAAAATCTCATGAAATAACTTCAGAATTTCAGAAAATCTGTGGAAAAAAACCCCCTGAACTGCACTGTATTTTACTTATTACACCTGGCTCTAAAAATTAAAACCAACAGAGTCTGCACTGGAGTTAGCTGAAGGTACCAAATAAGGAACTAAGAAAAGAAAAAGCAGTGAAGAGTTCTCCTTCTTTTGAAGAGATTTTTTTTTTTTTCCCCAATGAATGCTCTGAACGGGAAGATAGGGGAATGGGTAAAAGCAAAACCCACAAGGATTTAAATAATCAGAAATCTAAAAATTACCCTGAGTTAGTACCTATCCTGGTAACAGAGCACAAGCACCTGAATTTATCAAGAAAACATTGACCTTGAATGTTGCTACACTGCTCTTCTGCCTGTCTTCATCCCTGGCCTTGACCAACTCTCCACCACCTCTGTTTCCAGCATCCCACTAAGAAGTTAAATTTATGTTTTTAAACTTTTTTTCCTACATCTTTGACACCTACTCCTTCATAACTGACACTGCGATGCTTATCCAGCAAACTCATTGCCTTTCATGGCAGCCATGCTACAAATGCATTATATGCAAGAGGTTAATTTAAATCAAAGACCTCATATTTTCCTTCATCTTGCAGTTAAAACTCTTATGAAACCCTTTCATTTCATGTCTTTATATTTCCTTTTCAGCACCTTCATTTCAAAATATTTCTGTTCAGTGAAAACAAGTTTAGAGTCCCAAGCAAGTAATTCCTTTTCCATTTCTGACTGAATGCCTGGTCCTCACTTTAAAACCCCGTCAGTGTCAGCTGCAAGCACTCAGTGTAATAACAGCAGGTTAAGAGAAACACAGTAAAGCCACTAACATATATTTAAGTGATTCCAAACCACTCCCGCTCGCACAGAAGCATCCTACAAGGCTTTAGCTAATTGTTACTTTTATTTATTGTTGAGCTTTCATTCATTC